GAATATGACCAATTTAATCCACGTAAATCATTTAATTTAAATTTTTTCTAAATTTTCAAATTTTTTTTCAGCCTATTGACGTTTTTTGAAAGAAGGGCTTTTGTTTGTAACAGGAGATTGATTCTTATATACTAGATACTGTACCTCATTTGAAGTACCTCATTTTAAATTATTCTTTCAATTAATTTTTATTCTCATTTAACCAGACTGGTGCACGGATACGGATAATATCCGGATATCCGCGGATACCCGCGGATACGGACGGATATGGATAGTGTTTTTTGAAAAATTGGACGGATACGGATGGATACGGATATGATGCTCCAGATCCGCGGATATCCGTCCCTAATTTCTGCGATTAAACATCACTAAGTAAATTTTAAAAATACATTTTTCAAAGAGAAAATAATTATATTCCCAACGGGAGGAGATAATTGAGTCTTGCACATGACCCCAAACCCAGACCCAAAAGTCAACCACGACTCCGGACCGCGACATACCCACCTCGGCAAACCCTGATACACGACGATCCCGAACCGAATGCTCGGGGAGCCCTACTCAGTGCAAAAATTTTTTAGAATTTTGGAAAGCCAAGAAGCCAGATTCTTCCTTTTTCAGCGCCGCAGGCGAAAATTTTGAGAATTTTAGAAGGCCTTAAGCCAAAAAATTAACTTTTACCTGAGCAACGAAAATTTTCTGAATTTTGAAGGTCCAAAAACCTATACCAGGCTCATAACCATGGAGGGAGGGAGGGTGAATTTCCCATCCCCTCTCAAATGGGGAATAGGGATAAATTTTATGAGGGTATTGGGCAAAAAAGTGAATTTTTTGGCCTATGGCCTTCTAAAATTCTCAAAATTTTCGCCTGCGGCGCTAAAAATGGAAGAAATCTGGCTTCTTGACCTTCCAAAATTCTCAGAATTTTCGCTGGAAATAAAAGAAATTTGGCTTCTTGGCCTTCCAAAATTCTCAAAATTATCGCCTGCGTCACTTCCACATTTCTTACTGAATTATTACAGTGCCTTAGTGTGTTCCGTTAATTACAATACAGTTTTCAACCCATTTTTATAACCATTTTTTATATTTAAATGAACCTGACCATTTTGAAAATTTTAGTCAAGTTGACCGTTTTGAGAAAAAACGGATATATCCGCGGATATCCGCGGATGGATATGACTCAAAAGTTGGACGGATACAAACGGATACGGATATTGACCTAACGGATATATCCGGATACGGATAGCAAAATCCGTATCCATGCACCAGTCTGCATTTAACTATAAAGTTTTGTATTGTGTGGAGAGATCGAACTGTATAGCTAGTACAAGAATCGAAATCTTAAAAAATCTCATCTTTATACTAGAGTTGGTCGAGGTCGAGGCCTTGCTCTGGCCGAGGCCTCGCCCATTTTAGAATCTCGGTCTTGAGTTGATCGACCTCGGGTCTTGAAACCTCGTATCGGTCCTCGCCAAGAACCTTGTTTTGGGCCGAAGCTATACACCCATAAGAATTCCCTTGTAAAAATGGAAGAAATTTAATTATTTGATTTTCAAAAATTTCCAAAATTCAAAAATTTCTATCTGGGAGGGTCGTGCAACAATTGAAATCTCAAAAAATCTCATCTCGATAAACGAGACTTTTTATCCATATCTCGTCTCGGTCCGGTCTCTAATTATTACACTTAACTATAATTATAAGTATATTTTGTGATATACTGCCACTAATAATTAAAATTCACATTAATAAATACTTAAACTTCGTATTAGCTTTTATTATAAATTTTTAAAAATTTTGTTTTATATTTTTAATCTTGATTTACTTCAAAATTTAAATTAAAAAAATTTTTTTCTTGCTTCTATGAGTTCATGTTTTGATTTAACAACAAATTTATCTCAACTTTCATATGGCGTATTTTCACAGCTTTCCCGTCAACTCGATTCTCAAGAATTATGGCTTGATTTATTTAGTGATCAAGAGAAAAGTAGTGCTTACAGCCTTAGGTTTAAAAAAATAATTAAAAATAGGCGAGGAAATATTTACGGACACTAAATAAATTTTCTCTAAATTGTATAACAAAGTTTTTAATGCGGCGATATGCCTGTGAAATATTAAAATTGAGGAAACAGAGGTGGATCGGGTTGGGAGATCGAAATTTTTGAAAAGCTTGGGCCTGTTCAAGGGGTCTGGATTTGATTTATTGATCTGGGCTGGATCCTTGGCCTGTAGTCCAGGAAAAACCTAGGAAGGTCAAAAAATGTTTAGACCTAGACTCTGGGTACAGGAATGCCAAGGAAACCTTGGCATTGGTTTTCCTGACCTTGGCACCCAGCTCGATCTCCATCCGATACACAAAATTCTGGACTTTCTTCTTACCCTAATCCGAAAAAATATTATAAAACACAAATTTAAAAAAATATTTTTTAATGTGAAATAGGGTTTCAGTAGTCGTTTTTGTCTGATTTAGGTAAATCGGTCTTAATTTTGTCAGCAACTATTTGTCTTTAAAAGATTGAAGAATACAAAAAACTTTCATTAAAAAATAGAAATTTTAATTTTAAAGAATTAAAATAAATTTTAAAAATCCAAAAAATAAATAAATTTTTTAAGCGTTGCCGAAAAGGATAAATGCTTGCGTCTGTCAGAACCAGGCGCTTATCTCCTCAGATTGCTGGGTAATCGAGGACAGAATGTTAAAAGTATTTTTAATATTGATAAATTTTAACTCGAAAAAATTTTTCCTTGAAGGTTTCCTAGCAAAATTGCATTCATCTGCAAAAATTTATGGTCCAAAAATGGATATACCTCAGTTGATTTTGCATAGAAAATTTTGTAAATTAAAATTTTAAAATTATTAAAGTGTTGGGAAAATATTTTTAAAAATTAGTTTAATTTTCAAAAAATTTTTAGAAAATTTTTTGATGAATTTTTGGACGGAAGAGACTATAGCTTCAAATTTTTTGACAAATTTTTTTTGAAAATATTTTTCGACGTAGGAGACCAGAATTAATTTTTTATTGGTTTAACTCTTAAGATTTTTTTTCAAAACTTTCTCAAAATAATTTTAAAATTTATCAAGACTCGGGGTTATAAAAATAGTGTCTAGGTATTTATCAACTTTTTTCAAAATTATTTTAATATTTCTAAACCAATTATTGTTAATTTTTATAATTAAAATCCAAATTAAAATAAAATTTTTAATCTGCAAAAATGGAAAAATTTTTGCCAAAAAATTTTTTTGAGGAAAAACCCCAAAAAATCCCAAAAAAATCCCAAAAACCGAATTTTTGGACGGGGGACTTTGGACGGATTTAATAATTTAATTAACCAATATTTTTAATTTTTTAATTAAAAAATAAAAATTAAATTCCAAAACTTAAAAAATTTTTTTATTTTTTAATTAAAAAAAGGTCCAGTTATTTGGTCACGTCCAGAACAAATAATTGTTTATATTGATAAATCTGAAGATAATTTATTAGAAAAAAATACTTCGATAGATAAGGATAATTCTTCAATTATTAACCACCACTTACGGTTGCAATGCAAAGCTAGTGGATTTCCAACACCTTTGTATCAGTGGCTAGATGATGATAGAAAATTGGAGGGGGCTAATCAATCCTCTTTAATTATTTTAAGGTTTTTAATTTTAAAATAAAAAAAAATAAATTTCAAAAAATATTTTTTTAAGTCCAAAAAAATATTTTGAGTCACCGAAAAAATCAAAAATAATATTTGATGTTATTTTAGAGGGTTGTTACCTGAATATCTTTGAAAATTTATTTAAAGACTCGAATAAAAATTAATAACTAATTGGCCTATTAAATATTTTTTACTAAATTTATGCCCCATGTTTTTAAATATTGGTCGAGATATTAGTCGAGCTATAAGCTGAACTTTATTGGGATTTGTAAGGTGGAAGCAAGCTGGGACCATTCTGTCAATTAAGCCTAAGAATATATTTAGCATTACTTTCCTTAAAAATAGTTATTGGGTTGATCAGACCTTTAGGTAATAGTACCTTCAACAAACCACACCGGTGTGCCCTCCCTTTGGGGCAAGTGGAAACTGATTTATTGAAGAGATCAAACTATTGCACAATGGAAGTATCTTACAATTTTTTAACTTGAAAAAATTATTTTCCTCAAATATAATACTTAAAATTAAATAGATGCCCATGTACAGCCAGAAATGTTTTTCGATGTAAAGTTTGGAATCAAGTAGAGGAAGGCAAAGAATGGTCAGAATTTTATAGAGCTACAGAAAAAACGTTTTATTCTGAATTAATTTCTGATATTGTTGATCTCTCCTCTTTTGCTGTTCCCTTTGCTGGTTTTTTTGGAAAATTTTTAAAAATTTAACCAGAAAAATTTTTTTCAGACTGCGAAAATTGTTACAAACAAAAAATGGAAGAATTAGCAAAACGCTTAGGTGATGAACACAAACTTGGAAATTCTAATGATAATTTAAATCTACATGAAGATGACCCTATGACAAGTACAAAAATAAATTTAAAAATCAGAATTTAATTTAAATAATAAAACACAAGAATAAGTAAATAAAATACAAAAATCAGAATTATTTCAGAATTATTTAAATAAATCAAACCAGAATATTTAATTTATAAAAATACAAGTAAAACACATAAAATCAGAATTATTCTGAAAAATTGTTAAAATCAGAATTTTTATGAAAAAAAGAAAATAAGAATATTTGAAAGTCAGAATTATTTAAATAAATCAAATCAGAATATACATTATTTTTAAAATTATCAGAATAATTAAAACCAGAATAATTATAACCAGAATATTTAATAAAACCAGAATAATTAAAATCAGAATATTTAATAAAACCAGAATTATTAAAACCAGAATATTTAATCAAACCAGAATTATTAAAACCAGAATATTTAATCAAACCAGAATTATTAAAACCAGAATATTTAATCAAACCAGAATTATCTACTTATTTTATAAAAACACATTATTTAAAAACACAAAAAATACATGTATTTAATTCTAGCAATGGCCCCAGAAGAATTAATAGCATCAGACAAAGTAGCTCTAATAATTTCAAATCGTTCATATTCCCCAAATATGACTAATTTAATTACTCCACATTGTGATGCTGAAACATTAGCAGACGCTCTTCAACAACTTAATTTTAAAACTGTTACTTTGGGGGATTTAAATCTTTCTGAAATGAAACAAATGATTAATGCTTACAAAAAGTTGTTGGGGGAGGGAGTTTATGGTTAATTAATTTAAAAAAATCAGAATTATTAATTTCAGAATTATCTTTCTAAATCAGAATTATTAAATTAAAGGGAAATACAAAAATGAGAATTATTAATAAGAAGGGAAAATACAAAAATCAGAATTATTAATTAAGGGGAAAATACAAAAATCAGAATTATTAAATCAAAAGGAAATACACTCTGTTCCAAAAGTATATGCCCACCTATATTTTTAGCTTTATCCATGTGATATCGCCATAGATTTTTCTCAAATTTTTATGATTAGATACCTTGACATTTTCAAACAAAATACAAAAAAAATTTTTTAAATATTTCCTTTTCTTTATTGTAAAAAGATCAAAATCTAAATATTGAGTGTTCCAAAAGTATATGCCCACCCTCGTTTTATAGGTTTTTAATAGTGGAAAAAATCCACAAAATTTTTTGTTAACATACCTATCAATATAGATAAGAAATACAAAAGAAATTAAGTTCTGATGTACTCCTATCATCGAGATCTTGAAACCCGAAAATCAACGGAAAACCGGGGGTAGACGTCTTTAAAAAATATTTCGACTCCTTATAGGCGAAATAAAAATTTTATTTTGGGCTCATCTGAAAGCCCTTGAAATTTGCTACAAGATAGTTTTTATCTCATAATCTAGAAAAAATTCATTCTTGATATATAATGAGTTTAGTCTATAAGTTACATTTTCATCACTTTTTGGGGGCGTTTGAGTGATTTTTACGACTTGAAATTTTATCACATTTTGTCTTAAAGGTTAATGTTTTTCAAAAAATAAAATTAATGCTATCTTGTAGCAAATTTCAAGGGCTTTCAAATAAGCCCAAATTGAAATTTTTATTTTATCTGAAAGGGGTCGAAAATATGTTTTAAAGTCGTCTACCCCCGGTTTTCCATTGATTTTCGGGTTTCAAGATCTCGATGATGGAAGTACATCAGATCTTCTTTTCTTTTTTATTTCTTATCTATATCGAGAGATATGTTCACAAGAATTTTTGTAGATTTTTCCCTCTATTAGAAACCTATAAAACAAAGGTGGGCATATACTTTTGGAACACCCAATATTTAGATTTTGCTTTTTTACAATAAAGAAAAGCATATATTTTTGTATTTTTTTGTATTCTGTTTCTAAATATCATGGTATTTAATCATAGAAAATTTAAGAAAAATCTATAGCGATATCACATGGATAAAGCTAAAAATATAGGTGGGCATATACTTTTGGAACAGAGTGTACAAAAATCAGAATTTAATTAAGAAAAGGGGGAAATACAAAAATCAGAATTATTAATTAAGGGGAAAATACAAAAATCAGAATTATTAAATCAAAAGGAAATACAAAAATCAGAATTATTAAATTAAAGGAAAATACAAAAATCAGAATTACTAATAAAAAGAAAATACAAAAATCAGAATTTTAATTAAAAGGGGATAATACAAAAATCAGAATTATTAATTAAAATGGGGAAAATACAAGAATCAGAATTACTAATAAAAAAAAATACAAAAATCAGAATTTTAAAATTTTATTCTGTTTTTGTATTTTACTTTTTAGTAATAATTCTGATTTAGTGGTTCCCCTTTTTTCCTAATATTTCTGATTTTATGTGTTTTTAATAATTCTGATTTTGTGTATTTTTTAAATTAAAACCAGAAAATAAACTGGAAACTAAACCAGAAAATATTAATTAAATCAATCTTAATATAATAAAACAGAATTATTTTAATCGAATTAATTTTCTAATCAAAAAAATAAATAAACACAAAATTTTCCTTATTTTCCAGCCATTTTTTATTTTGCTGGTCACGGTTTTGAAGCAAATGGCCAGTGTTATTTACTACCAATCGGCGCCCCTGCAAACGATTATGGCCCTCAAGATTGTCTTAGTATGGATTTGGTGATGAATGAATTTCGTGATTTCCATCCAGCATTAAATTTAATATTGTTGGATATGTGCCGGAGATTTTTACCTTTAAATATCGATGCGTTTGTGGCTTATTCTGAACGGTTTAGACAAGGCGAAATTAAAATTAATAGAAATACTGTTTACGGTAGGAAAATTAAAAAATTCTGATTTTTAAATTAAAATTCTGATTCAAAATTCTGATTTGTAAACTTGAAAATTGATGATTCTGATTTAAATAAACAAAAAATACAAATTCTGATTTTAAAATTAAAATACAAAAATCAGAATTTTTCAGAAAAATCAGAAAACAAGAACTTTTCAGAAAAAAAATCAGAATAAAAAACCAGAATATTTCAGAAAATCAGAAAAAAATTTAAAAAAAAACAGAATAAATAAATCAGAATTTTCTGTCCATCAGAAACTTAAGTTTACAAATCAGAATTTAAATTTCTGATCTACTTAAAATTAAAATTCTGATTTTTAGACTTAAAATTCTGTTGTATTTCAGATTTAAATAAGAAATACATAAATTCTGATTTAATTAAAAAGGTTATGCTACAAGTGAGGGTATCGGCGCCTATGAAGTTAAAGGAGAAATGAACGGTGTTTTTATGAAATATTTGAAGAAACGAATAAAACAGCCTAGGCCATTACTTGATATGTTAAATAAAGTATTTTTAGGTGTGTTTTAAAAATTAAAAAAATATTTTTAAAAATTCAATTAAAGATATAGAAAGAGACCCAAAAGTCAGGGATGTCCAAATCCCAGAGCTTCGTTCAAATTTAACCAAACAACGAACTCTACTCGATCCCTTATGTAAAGATGGGCATACAACCTCATATAATCACCACACATTTCATTGGAGAACAATGCATGGTGTGAAAAATATTTTTTTTTATTTAAAAAATTTTTCAGAAAATCAGGAAAGAATCAGAATAAAAAATCAGAATTTTTCAGAAAAAAAATCAGAATTTCTCAAAAAAACCAGAATTTTTCAGAAAAAATCAGAATTTCTCAAAAAAAACCAGAATTTTTCAGAATCAGAAAATCAGAAAAAAAATCAGAATAGAAAATCAGAATAATTCAGAAAATCAAAAAAATTAAAAAAAATCATTTTTAAATAAATATTTTCTTAAAATCAGAATTGCCTATACCTGTACAAATTGAATTTTCTGAATTAAAATTACAAGTGACTATATGGTTCGATTTTTGTGGGCATTTTACTAATAAAGTAAATAAAAATTTAATTTTAAAAATTTCAGAAAATTTTTTAATCTAAAGGTTTATGTATTTAGTAGTGTTGAAGATTTAATTCCAAAAGATGAAGATTTTCAAGAATTTATGGAAGGGAAAAATAAAGAAGATTTAAATAAAGGAGAAGGTTCTTAATTGAAAATAAGCTGAAAATTAAAAAAAATTTTTTAAAGACGGAAGAATGCTAGTCAGTGATTGTAAAACATGTTCAGAATGGGCATTGTCTCATTTGGCTTATTTGCGCTTTCCTGAGGTGTTTTTGTTTTAATTAAATTCTGATTTTCAGAATTTATAAATAAATACATAGAAATAGAGAATATAATACAAATCAGAATAATTAATTAAAATCAGAATATTTAAATGAAAACAAACCAGAATATTTAATTTAAATAAAATACAATCAGAATTTTAAATAAACTAACAGACTCGCAAAATCAGAATTTAATATAAACAGGAAAATACAAAAATCAGAATTTAGTAAATAAATTATTGGTAGAACAAAACCAGAATTTCATAAAAACATTTATTCAAAAATCAGAATATTTAATAAACTAACAGAAAACACAAAACCAGAATTTAATATAAACAAGAAAATAAAAAAACAGAATATTGAAATACAAAAACAAATAAAAACAGAACCAGAACTTTAAAAATTAGATAAGAGAAAATACAAAAATCAGAATTTATTAAATATGAGAAAATACAAAAAACCAGAATTCTGAATAAATTATTGGTAGAAACAGAATCAGAATTCAAACAAAAAACACAAAAACCAGAATTTATTAACTAATCACTTAAAAATATTTTTAATTAAAAGGAATTTGAATGTTCTTCTCCAAAAATGTGCAAAGACGATGCTGAGGGTGTTTCTCTATGTGTTTTACTTTCACATTTACAAAAAGCAAAGGTTCAAAAATAGTTTTTTGGCAAAAATTTTTTAATTAAAGGGGGAGCTAACTTGTGTAGTCGAAATAAGGGATAGACAACAAAAATTAATAGCAACAAAAGAAAATCAGTTGTTAGGGCATGTTTTGATAACGAGAATAGCTGGAAGGAAATAATTTTTTTTTAATTTTTCAAATTTAATTTTATTTTAAAAATTTTTTAAATCAAAAAGCCGGTGATTTTAAAACAAATTTTTGAGGAAAAAATTTTCTTGGCGTTTTGTATTTTTCCTTTATTTTTAATTCTCTCCCCATTTCTACTCCCTATCCAAAATTTGTTTTATTAAAATGCAGCATTAATATAAAAGAGAATTTTGCTGGGCAACCCCGTGGGGCTAAGATCGTTGCTGAGTATTGCGCCAGACTACTGTTAGACAAGGAAGTGCATTGAGGGCAGAGAAAAAGAACTGAATTCTCTCCCTCATTGTGCTGGGTCGTCTGTGTGGTGCGGCCCCAATTTCGCCTTTCTGCCAGTCACACCCGACAGCTAGACAGTTGGAGTGTTTTCCCACTCCATTCTTCATAACCTTCCCTCTCATTCCACACACACTAACCCTAGTAGAGAAGAGAAGTGCCTTCTGGCATAAAAATGAGAGTGGAAAAAAGTGTGCGGAGGTGAGACGCACAAAATTGAGTGCTTCGGCATTAAAGAAAAAATTTCTTTGGTGAGCCTCGGCTCAACAAAAAAAATAACTATGATGCGTACGCGCGTCGAAATCACGTTCTCTGACCAGCTGAAAAGCTGAGAAGAATAAAGTCCAGCTGTAGCTGGTGGACACTTCGGTGTGACAAAATTTCTCTGAAGAAATTGTCTAGCCTGTCGGTGGAGGTATATGGAGGAAAGTGTGACTAGGCTTCGGAGGTTGGAGGAGAGAGGGAAATTGAACCTTGCTGATGCTACAAATAAATGTCTGATTGTGGTACGATGAGGCGGGCGGCCCCCCAAATTTTTTTTTTGAAAATTAAAAATGATTTAGAACTGAAAATTACATATAAATAAATTTTATTTTTCATTTAATATACAGTAGTAAATTAAGAATGGGAGCTAGAACGAGAGGGCAAAAGTGATGCGCGAGCCCTTAAACGAGTTAGTATAAAATCAAGCAAATAGTTTCTTGTTCTTGATTCTCTTAATTTTGCATACCAACTTTCATCTTCTTGTACATATATTTCGATGTGCGATAAGGTTTCTGCTCGTGTTCGTCTACTTTGGCAAATCTCGTGTATTTTTATAAAATTAAAAAACTGGTGATTTTAAAATAAATTTTGAGGGCAGAACTCGACAGCTGGAATTATAAAATTTTCTTGGCGTTCAGTATTTTTTCTTTTATTTCTTATTATTTTTTAATTCCCTCTCCATTTCTACTCCCTATCTAAAATTTGTTTTATTAAAATGGAACATTAATATAAACGAGAGTTTTTCTGGGCAACCCCGTGGGGCTAGATCGTTGCTGAGTACTGCACCGGACTAGTGTCAGACAAGGAAGTGCTTTGAGGGTAGAGAAAAAGAACTGAAAACTCTCTCTCATTGTGCTGGGTCGTCTGTGTGGTGCGGCCCCAATTTCGTCTTTCTGCCAGTCACACCCGACAGCTAGACAGTTGGAGTGTTTTCCCACTCCATTCTTCATAACCTTCCCTCTCATTCCACACACACAAAAAAAGAAAAATACAAAAAAAAGAGTGAGGAAGTGCCTTCTGGCATAAAAATGAGAGTAAAAAGAAGTGTGCGGAGGTGAGACGCACAAAATTGGATACTTCGGTATCTACTAAGAATTTCTTTACTGTGTTCTTTGGACAGTAAAGAAATATCTATGTTGCGGCTAACGCGACGAAATCTTGTTCTCTGACCAGCTGAAAAGCTGAGAGGAAAAAAACATCTAACGGTGTACAAACAACGTTGTAGAAACAAAAAAAACTTGAGAAGAAAGTGTCTAGCCTGTCGGTGGAGGTATATGGAGGAAAGTGTGACTAGGCTGCGGAGGTTGGAGGAGAGAGGGAAGTTGAACCTTGCTGATGCTACAAACAAAGTCTGATTGCGGTACGATGAGGCGGGCGGCCCCCAAAATTTTTTTTGGAAAGTTTTTAAAATTAATTTTAAAATTGAATAAGATCAGAATGAGAGAGAGAAATAGATCGAAAAAAGAGGAAAACAAGTGTAGAATTAGAAAATTTAATTTTTTAAAAGTGTTTAAGATTATTGCTGAGTACAGGAAGTACAGCAAGTGTCAGATAGGGAATATAATATTTTGTGATAAGGGAAAAAGAACTCAACCTAAATCTCAAATGTTGATATATAACGGATATGCAGTTTGTAAATTTAGTTTAATTTCAAAATTTTTTACAAATTTTCTGGATATAGAGTGAAGGACAACACCTCGTCCAAGAACTGCTTCAAATTCAATGAACAGATGACAAGCGTTATTAGGATTTTAGTCTGAAGATGTCACTATCACTTTAAGCTTAATTTATCGCACAAAATTCATTTTTCTGCCTATACTCAACTGATCTTTAATGAATTTGGCGTTCCGTTTTTTCTTACTATTTTCTTCTGCTTTCTCATTCATTTTGCTCCCCATACAAAATTTATACAATAAAAATGCAGCATTAATATAAAAGGAATTTTTTGTTGCACCCTCGTGGGGCTAAGATCGTTGCTGAGAACTACGCCGGACTAGTGTCAGACAAGGAAGTACATTGTGAGGAGAGAAAAAGAACTGAATAGTTTGTTCTCTTCCTCGCATCGTGCTGGGTCGTTTGTGTGGAGCGACCCAAGATTTCACTCTATATTTGTCACAGACCACCTTGGGCGGTATGGTGAGCGAAAGCTCATCCGCCATTCCCTTCACTCCCATTCCACACACATCACTCCCCCCGAAAAACACAAACCTGTGCGAAGGCTTAAAAAACCATCACACATGGCTGCTTCGGCAATAAAATGGATTTAAAGAAAGTGTGCAGAGTAAGTTCCTTTCGAGGAAAACCAACCCGTTCCCACCACCTAACTGTCCAGCCGAAAGGCTGAGGAGAAAAAACAACAACAACCTATACGCTGCGGCGTTCACTAACCTTCACCAACCTTCACCTACCCAATCCCCCCTCGAAGGAATGGAGGAATCCGCCAAGTGTGTGTAGGAGGTATTTATGGAGGAATATGTGACTTTGGAGGCTGGAGGCAGAGTGTAAATTGAGCCTTGTGACGCTAAGAATAAAATGTCTGATTGTGGTACGATGAGGCGGGCAGCCCCCCAAATTTTTTGTAGTTGAAAAAATTTTTTTCAAAGATCTAATAAAATATATCACGAAAAAATTAATCTTACTGGGGAAAAAATATATTTGTAATAAATAAAATGCCTGATTGTGGCATAATAAAATGTCGGAAATTTTTGCAAAATCTGTCAAAAAATTTTTCAAAACTCATAAAAATTTTTGAAAGTTTTAGACTTTGATTTTAAACCTATAAATTTATTTTTTTAATATTATTGAACGTGAAAAAATTAAGAAATTAATTTGGTTATAAATTTTCAAAAATTTCTGCGACGCAGGTGGATGAAATAGGAGGATTTATGCCTACGAAGATCTAAAACTATTGCATATATCCCTAAAAATTAGAAATTAGATGTCATCGACTCTAAAAATTTAAAAAAATTTTAAATTTTTTGAATATTTCTCAGGTACGGGAAAGTACGAGATACAAATCAGTGGTGGGTCGGAATAGTCAGAGGTGTCGGAAATTGGAAAAGCAGGAAATCTGAATTCCGACCCACCTATGATACAAGGTACGAGGCCTAAAATTAAGGTGATACGAGTACGACAAAATTTCAAAATTCCAATACTGCTTATCATAAAACAAGGAATATGAAATCAAATTTTCGAATCAAAAACACTCTTTTAACAATAAATTCTTTATTTTTTGTTTTATGGATTTATGTATAAATAATACTTTTTCTTAGAATATTTCTAAAAAATTTTAAGTTAGTTAATGTTTTTCTAAACATTTGCAGCAATAAATACGGGTGTGTGAAAATTTGAAATCTAGTCGCAGCCAACGCATAGTCTCGCTTATTCTATTGTATTTTTGCTTTGTGATAAAACCTTGTTTGTTAGTCAAGTCTCTTCTGTTAGTATCGGAAACACCGTAAGTCGACTCTTGTTAAAACTGAAAATGATAAAGCTCTACAGCTCTTGATAAAACTGAAAGCATTTTGACTTTAAAAAAATAAAAATGACTAAAACATAGCAAAAAGGTTTAGCTATTTTAGAAAGTATATTTAGTCTCAAGTATTTTTGATCAAAACACGAATAAGAATTTAGCCTTTAATCTTTTCCAAAAAAAACAATTTTTTGGTAATTCACGTGAAATTTTGCAGTTTTATTTAATTTTTTGATAAATACAAAATTAAATTTATTTAGAATTTTTTATTTGCAATTTTTAAATTTTTTTATAGTATTCGAGGGGTTAAACCAAATTTAGAATAGAGTAAGAATAAATTTAGCAAATATACAGAAAAATAAAATTTCACAGAAAGATAATTTACTGACAGAATAATAATTAAATAAAAATTTTTACTTATAAAATACCCGGCTAGTGTCCAAATTACGCGTTCAATCTCACCTTTGTCGTCCCAACAACCGTTTTGCATTCAGTGAAAATTTAAGCTTTTATGTTTGTGATCTATGGCGACGTACGTACAAATTCGGGTAACTATTCTGTCTAATCTAATCATTGAACGTGTAAAAGTTGATTGGACATAGCCACATTCCCATCCATTTTTCTCATATTTTAAACAAAATATAGCTACAAATAGACAAAAATTCCCTTAAAAATGGGCAAAATTTCCTAAAAAATTCTCCTAACATGCAAAAAATATTAAATTTGTTTATGTTCTCCGTCTAATATTGTGACTTTCATAGAATATAGAGGTATAATGAATTGGGTATGTGATCGGGCTACCTAAGCCTTAATGAGCTCTTCAGCAAATCCCAATATAGTAAAATCAAAATAGCAACATAAAAGTAACCATTAATTTGTAAAATTTTCACTAAAAATATTGCAAAAACTATCTAATAAGAACTCAATATTAAAAATAATTTAAGGAATGGATGGACCTTTAAGCAACTAAGAGGTTCCTGATAATCCAACAAATTATCCTCTGGCTGATTAATGCTAGGATGCTCCATTCTTATCGTTTGGCTGTTCCGCCCGATATCTCTATTATTCTCAGGCGAATTAAGGTGTTGGAGGCATTTCTGCAAAGAGTCTATATAGCGAATTGTCCCATTTACTATATAAAATAATCCTAACTTTATAAGCAAAAGCTAATTTAATTAAAAGGCTGAATAAACATTTTAAATTATTAAATGAATTTTTTGGGTAGTTTGGTGATTTTTTATTTTCAAAATTTGGCCAAATAAATACCATCAGAATTTACCAATAAAATAAATCCATTGTCAATAAAAATAATTCTTTAAATAAATAAATTTACAAAAAATGACTAAATTTAATTCAATTATTTTCTTAATTTATTTAATAATTAATTTTATGAACTATTATATAATGGCTGCATTCCGTGATACCGCACCAGGACGTTCACCTGGAGCTGGACATTAAATTGGTGGAAATTGTAATTGAATTTAATTTTTTATTTTAACAAGGGATCCTGTCGATATAAAAAAATAAATTTTCGATTTTAGCATTAGGGAATTCCCAAATTAAATCCTCAAATATCATGAAAAGTAATTATTTGTCGGGAGTTGCATGAGATCCCAGGCTTTACAGAAAAATTTTGGGGTTACATTGTGGGTGGTCTTTGCACATTTTTTTGTCTTTCCTGGACTGTTATACTTCAACTTCAACTTTTTGAATTCTTTGTGTAACAGAGGTCGAGTTTCTCCAAGTCATCCTCCGTTAGTAGTATATAAAATTTAACTGATTAAAGTTGAAGTATACGCAAATCTTCAATTATTTCATAAAAATTAACTATTTATAATTTTAAGCAAAAAATTAAAAAATGTGGCAGAATATGGGGATTTGGAATTTTGGTAAAATATCTTCAACTTTTCTTTAAATACAAAACAAAATTGGGATATTCTTCTTTAAATGATGAAAAATTATTTGGAAAAAAAATTTTTTCAAAACTTTCTTTATTATTTAATTTGTTAATCTTGGAAGAATAAATTGTTATGGGAAATTTTTTTAGAACATTTTTAAAGTGTCTTAACCAGGGTTTTCTTCATTTTGTGGTTTTTTGATAGGTTGTTGAAGATAATCTTAAAGGTAATCCTTAAGATCATTGTTCCCTAGGAAAAAATGCTAAAAAAGTGCTCTTTCGATATTTTTAAGGCTTGCCAGTAGGTAATCGGCTGCGCTGAGTCTGAATCTAAGCTTAGAATTTGTTTATTTCGAACCCTGAATCCGAATTCGACCAAGTCGAATATGGGGCAAAAATTCAAAATTTATGTTTAAAAAAGTCTAACCAATCGTGTATTTAATTGATCATAACTCAGTCTAATGTTGTCAAAACACATTAATTTTGATATCATTCGACTCAGCTTGAAGAACGCGTCAGAATAGCACTAGCAAATAGTTTCGAATTCCTACCCCGAATTCGACTTGGTCGAATTCGGGTTCAGGGTTCGAAATAAACAAACAAATTCTAAGCTCAGATTCAGACTCAGCAGAGTCGATTACCTACTTGCAAGCCTTAAAAATATCGAAAGAGCACTTTTTAGCATTTTTTCCTAGGGCCAATGATCTTAAGGATTACCTCTTTAGAAATGCTGATTTGTGGATTTTTATATTCTTCTGAAGATTATGAGGATTTTTTACATTTTTATGTAGTTTTTAGTATTGTCCGGCTAGGCTTTTTTCGTGATCTCCAGATTTTTTCCGACCGAACTAATCCAGAAAAATCCGCGGATCCGGCATAAGCGAGAGAGACTAAACCGGTTTTTGGGCCCGCAAAATGAGTTTTCCGGACACTGGTTTTTAGAATAGAATGCCATTATTTCTATTATGGGCCCCCCACAATCATTTAAAATTTTCACAGCAAAGCAAAAAATGGAAAAAGTCAAAAGTCATTTTATAAGATGATCACTAGTTCCAATAAAAAATTTCTCAATTAGGTATATTGATGGAGACATAAAATATACCGTATTATCTCTAATAGAATGGCCGTCTCCATTTGAATGGCCCCTTCTAATAGAATGGCCCCCTGGAGGATGATTGAAAAATAGAATGGCCGTCTCCATTTGAATGGCCCGCTTCTAATAGAATGGCCCCCCCTTAATGCCAAAATTTTCCCTTAATAAAATTTTTTTTCAAATTTTCACTTGTAGTGCCGGAAATCAGTATAGATCTCAGTGGATTTACAAGATTAAGGTGGATTAGGAGAGATATCGGAGCATTTGTGTCGATAAAGAGAAGGCGGAAGACCGGAAGCCCTCGGAAACCCGGAAGCCAGGAAAAACCGGATTTTATCAAAATACTCGGTTTCCGGGCTACCGGGCCTGGAAAACCCTGTCTCGGGCCTGGGGTCGAGCTCTAATAATAATTCTAAGAGCACAGGTTCATTTAACCTTAAAAATTTTGTAATTTCTTGCTAGAGAACTCAAAAAATTTTCTAAAAATTAATTAAATAACTAATGGGGAGAGGCTATTATTGGGCTCCAGATGTTTACGCTAGATGGCTTGACGTCAACATTTGCGATTGCGGAACTAGCAACTTTTACACCACAAAAATTCGATGGATCGAAGTGCCAATGATGTCGGAAAGTGACAAGACGGGAATAAAAACTGCTCGTTGGTTTGGTGGAATTCTAACTTTGGGTACGTTCATGAAAGAAAATTACCGTATTTTCTCGATTAATTCCCCTCCCTCGAATAATTCCCCCTCCCGATTAATTCCTAGAGTTGGGTTGAAACAATAATTCCCCACTCCCAAATACCCTAATGCAAGTTCAAATGCCAAAACTCGAATAATTCCCCTCCCTTGAGGGAATTAATTCCCAACCCTTCCCATGCCAATAAAGGGTTAAAAAAATATAATCCCATTTTCTTTGCTCCTCGACTCCCTTTATAAGTATTAATTCTGGATAATTTAATTGCCAATGAAATAGAAAGTGAGGATTGAAAAGTGATAATAATAAATTTAATAATTTTGAATAAATGAATAATTTATTGTCTAGTTAATAATTGTCTTATCCAATTTTCATTCCAGGACTTTCCGAGCTTGTTGGTGCTGCAGTCGTCGGTGGTTTCCATGATCACACTCATGAATGTGTTGAGATTGATTTTAAATGTAATTACTGTGAAAAGACATTCAAACGAACTTATGAGATTATCGATGCTGACACAGGCAACAGTGCTCTCTGGGGATACTATCGAAAAGAATATCAAGTAGGAAGTTTTTAAGTAGAAAGTTTTAAGTAGGAAATTCTGAGAAAATTTTTAATTACTGTCAATAATCTGATCATTAATTAATACAAGTGAATACGTGCATAGAAGGGCTGGGTTAATTTCGAATTTTCGCGTTTCGCATCTTTCGTATATTTCGCATTTTTCAGCGCGAAAAGTTTAGCATTCCCCATTTCGCTTAGCCCTGGTGCAGAGGTTGAAGCCATATATATATGCAATAATGCCTTATATGAGCTACCTAGTTTAAATTTAATTTAATCAAAAATTATGTTCAGTGTGAACGCTCATGCTCCACTCGTCGTTCATTTGACTTTGTTGAAAGCAAATATCGCGAGATGTGGGCCAACTATTCTATTTCTGGCGGACTTCACTGTAAGGAGTGGAGCAAGGACTTTTATTGGAAGATCAATTAAGGAATAATTAATGAAACAACTTGGTTTGGCACAATAATATTGCCTTATAAATTTTGATTTTATTAAAATTTTGATATTCGGAATTGTAAAAGTGCTCAAAAATTGTCATGATTTTTCATTTATTTTTAAATAAAATAAACTGATTTGGTTATACATATACTTTAGTATATGTTATACATAGTATTAGTACTTTTGCTAATACATATTACTTTATCTAATATGCATAATTTGTATTAAGATCAAAATTGGAAAACTTTAGATACACGTAATCGAACCGATAAATCGAACCTTGTCTTGATTCTTGATTTTGGTTGGGTATCTTGACCAGATTCTTGACCTTGAATCAAGGAAAAATCAAGGTCAGAAAAAATCAAGGAACGCTGAAAAATGCCTTGATCTAGTCTCTGAATCCAGGAAAAATCAAGGTCTGGATAGCCCGCTCTCTAAATATCATATATTTAAATATTGGGCACGGAAACGTGCCCTTTATAACTGGCACGGAACCGTGTGCACGGAAACATGCTGGCACGGAAACGTGCCGGCACGGAACTGAGCTGGCACGGAATCGTGGGCACGGAAACGTGGGCACGGAATCGTGTCTAACCGAACAAAGTAAACCCCCTACTTTTATTCTTTTTTTCCTTTAATTGCTCTATTTTCCAATTCCACTTCTTCCTTATTTTCATTTCCTAAAGGGAAAATAGTTGGCCTTTACAAAATAATCAAGCAATAAACAACAAACGGAGGCTTAATAAAAGCCAAGTAATTTTTCCATTTAAATTCAATATTAAACTACTTCAATTTAATAGTTAAAGGCCTTCTTCCCTCTTTATTAATTTTAAATTTAAATTGGAAAAAAATCAAAAAAAATTTTCCGTTTCCAATAAAAACAAGTAAAAATACTACCTAATTTAAATATCAAGTTAATGTTTATTTTAGGATTAGCATTTGAATTTAGAAAAAGATTTTGGAATTATTTTTTGAGATTTGTATAGCCTCTTAAGAATATTTTAAGATTAAAATTTTACTTTTCACTTTTCATTCCGAATTTTAATTTTTTCGTGCATTTTACTAATGTAGTACGGGAGCAGTCCAACCTTCCGCGAGCCTAACTAACCGCAGAGCTATAACTCCGTTCAAAATAGTCTAATCCGGGACGCCCTGGTATGGTTCGATTCAGCTCGTCGAGGCGCATCGATCCATACCAGGTTGTCCCGGATTCGACAATTTTGAACGAAGTTATAGCTCGGAGGTAGGTTGGCCTCGCGGTAGGTTGGGGTGTACCCAGTGTAGTACTATACTAACAATTAACATTTTAAAAATAAAATAATAAATTTTTAAAAATGTTAGGATAATACAGCAATAAATTTTATGAAAATAAGCAGTTAGATGTATATTTTAAATTAGTAAAAAATAATAAAAAACACAATAAAAATGCTTATATGTAAATCTCTCTTAATTTTTATATGCGATGTTAGCTTAAACCTAAAATTAATTTTTACTCCAAATTTAATAATAAAATTAGTGAATTATACAGAAGATCCTTAAAACGGATATTCCAAGATTATAATATAATCAAGTCATGTCCTTAATAGTTCCGGAACTAGTTATTCTAATTATTTGGTTTATTTCCGATTAATACTGTATTTTGTTTCCGGTTGATAGTCTATTTCATTTTATTCCTTCCGGTTTAAAGTCTATTTTAGTTGTTTCCGGATAGTTTACTTCTTGTTAATACTGTTTCCGGTCTATTATTTCTGTTTTTATATTGTTTCCGGTTCATAGTTTTTTTTTATTTTTTCCGGTCCGGTTGTGTATAATTCTGCTTAAGCTGTATTATTTTATTTCCGGTTGATAACGTATTCATTTTAACTGCACATTGTTTCCGGTTTATATTTTTAGTCAATATTTTCCTGATTTATAATAGAAGTTACCTATATGTATAAATAAAATTATGCAAAGACCTTCAACCTTAATTCCATCATCTACAGGCTGTAATATACCTCCTACCGTTCAGTTTCTAGCTGCGGTAAATTTAAAAATCAAAAGAACTAATTTAAAAATTAATTTTCCAGCCAATAGATAATTCTACAATTAATGTTACCTCGCCTTCTTGCCTCTCTGGAGTCGAAAATCGAATAATTTTGAATGTTGGGGGTATTAGATACGAAACTTATAGTCATGTTTAGTTGATTATTTAATTTATTAATTCTTAAAATTATTTAAAAAGGTTTTGAAAAAAATCCCAGCAACTCGTTTATCCAGATTAACTCCAAATTTGTCAAATTATGACCCTGTAAAGAACGAATATTTTTTTGATAGACATCCAGGAGCTTTTTCTTTGATTCTGAATTATTATAGAACTGGTAGGTTTTTAATTGAAAAAAATTTTTTTTTGAAATTTTTCCAATCCAAAAAGGAAAGCTGCACTATCCAGCAGACGTTTGTGGTCCTCTTTTTGAGGAAGAACTCGAATTTTGGGGGCTGGATTCAAACCAAGTAGAGCCTTGTTGTTGGATGACCTATACAAAATACAGGCAGAAATTAAAATTATTTAAAATTCAAAAAAACTTTAAAGAGAAACCCAAGAAACTTTAGCCTTAATAGAAAGTATGGAAATGGATACAGATATTCGCCCAACACAAGAAGATGTAGCCAAAAAATTTGGTTGGGAGGATGAATATAATAACGGAAAATTAAATTTGTGGCAAAAGGTCAAACCAAAATTGTGGTCGCTGTTTGAAGAGCCGTGGACATCGCGTGGGGCGAGGGTAGGGAACTTATTGAGGGTCCTCTTATCCTTTATTTCCAGATAATTTCAATAATTTCAATTTCCTGTATTGTTTTGTCTATTTTATGTTTTTGTTTAAAAACTAATTCTGGAATACGTCAAGTTGGAAATTTTCCTGCTTCGGAATATGTTTATTTTAATAATAATAGTGTTTTGATTAAAAGTATGAGGCGGCAAAATATTAATTTGCCAAGAAGGTGAGAATATTCTATTAATAAATATTATTATTATTAGTACATTTATGGAAAAACTTCCAAAATTAATTTTAAAAAATTCATAATTTTTTAAAATTATGTCTCAAATAAATAGAGAGAAACTTGACACTGGGCAGGCATCTAGACGTAGCCTGTAATTTATGGTTCCTGCGACCTTCAGTCAGTTTTTGCTAGAGGCCTTAGTTCACCACGTCACGTGTTGAACTTTTCTAAAAGGCTCTTTAACAGGATTAATAACTTTGTCCCTCAACAAATAAAAAATTTATTTAATATTTTTTAATTAAAATTAAAGCCCAACAACAACAACAACTTCCTTCATTATTCAATTCTTCTATCTAGAATTGGCTTGTAATTTATGGTTTACCTTTGAATTTATTGCCAGGCTTCTTTTCGCCCCCAGCCGTTCCAGATTTATCAAAAACCCTTTAAATCTGATAGATTTATTCGCAACAACCTCGTTTTATATCGACTGGATTTTAACAAACAATTTTTTAAATAATAATGATTCTTTGGAGTGTTTGAATATTATGAGGGTTTTGAGGCTTTTTAAATTGGCACAACACTCTTCTGGATTGAAAATACTTATACAGACATTCAAGGCGTCAGCGAGGGTGTGGAAAAATAATTTTTTATTCTTTAAGTGTTTTTGATTTACATTTCCCTATTTTAATTGCCTTGGCCTTGGGAGGGGAAGGTTAAAGGGCTTGAAGAGGAGGGTGATAACCTTGGGAGTGGAAGGTGATAGGACTTGGAGGTGAAGGTGATAAGGGACCTTGGGAGGTGGGAGGTGAAAGGACTTGGAGGTGAAGGTGATAGGGGACCTTAGGAGTGGAAGGTGATAGGACTTGGAGGTGAAGGTGATAGTGGACCTTGGGAGGGAAAGGTGATAGAACTTTACAAGAAGTATAGTGTGTACATAGCTCTTATCACGTATGTGATTTACCGGCTAACAGGGGATGCTTTCATCTTGGGAGAGGGACGTGAATAGACTTTTCAGGAAGAATCTTGGGGTTATTAGACCTTTAGTCCAATTTCACTGCCATTTTTTGCTGTAGTTTCCGCTCAACCGTAGGTGAGTGAGTTAAACTGGGGCAATACTTTCACCTTTCAGTCCCTTTTTCTTTTGTAGGATGGGAGGGAGAGGTGAATCGGAATTCTGATTTTCGGCACCTTCGCCATTTCCGATTCACCTCTGATGGGAGGGAGAAATTAATTTCCTATTTTCTCCCTCACTTCCTAAATACAAAATTAACCTTTAATTAGGTAATCTAATAAAATTTTCATTCTCACTATAGGAATTAATTTTGCTCTTCTTTTTTGTTGTTCTTGGAATGATTTTATTTGCCTCACTTATGTAAATAAATTAAAATTGAATTTAAAAATTTATAAAAATTCCAAATCCCCTCAGTTATTACGCAGAAAGATTAGAATACAATCCAGAGAACCAATTCGAGTCGATTACTGTAGGTATGTGGTGGGCTTTGATTACTATAAGTACTATCGGTTATGGTGATTCAGTTCCAAAAACTAGGTGAATTAACAGTAAAATTATCCAAGTAAAAAATTTTAAAGGTTGGGTATGGTTGTTGGCTCTTTATGTGCTTTAATGGGTGTATTAACTATTGCATTACCTGGCAAGTTTAAACCCTAACATGAATAGATATAATACAAAGCATATACCTATTTGATTCTTAAGTAGGGTTGCGTTTTCGAAACGGGCCGACATTCGAGTCTTTTTGGAGCCAAAATTCGAGGCACGATTCGATCATTCGAACAGAACCGGGCCAGCAACCCTATTCCTAAGGCTATGCAAGAGCCGACATTTGTCCGGTCAACCACCTTAGTCCGGGCAATTGAAGATGCGGAGTCGGTCCAGGCGCCTAACCTTTCGTATTAGATGAAAGAGGTGTAGCTAGACAATTTCAGCGTTATTATAACAGAGAAGATATAGAAGATAACATACACAAAACACCTCCTTAGAAGATAACAAATAAATCCTTTATTATCTCCAAATTAAAAAAAATGTTTTTCAGTACCAGTAATCGTTGCCAACTTTCAAAATATTTATTCTCACAGTAAAGCTCGTTCTAAATTACCAAAAAGACGCTTAAAAGTACTCCAAATGTCAGAAATTAAAGCTAAAGAAAGGCAACAACAAAATCGGTTTTTATCAGCTTGGAAGAATAATACTAATACTTTTGGGAGTAAAACAACAGCAGCTCTTCTAGGAACTTTAACTGGCGATTTATCCCCAGCTGTTGCTATTGCTGCTGGTTGGTAGTTTAAAAAATTGATCTTGAATAAATTTGTATGGAAGAAAGAGAAATACCTAACTAGATTATGGTAGAATGAGAGAGAAAAATAATGTTCCTTCGATCTACTGGCATTTATGCCTAGCTATACTGCTATTTCATTTTCTTAAGCCGCATTATTATTAAACCTCTTTAATAACCTCACCTCTTTATTAACCTCCATCGCTCCCTCATAACATGGATCTCCCCCTTTCCTTGCTAAGGAACTAAATTGTATATTTACGAACCCCATTATACCGTCACTGCCCATTTCTTCAGTTATCATAAAAACAATGACACTGCTTCACCTGAGTTATGAGATTTATGTTTAAAATGTTTAGAGGGTTTCTTGACTTTTTTTATAAACTAGTGATTTTTAGAGTAATTTTGGACGGATTATAACCTGCTAATTTGATAAATAATTAATTTTTGATAACAATTTATCCCAAAGGATTTTCCCCTGATTCAATAAACAACAACAACATTAAAAAATCATCAATCCACCAAAATCTAAATTTTACACATTCTTCCTCCTCAGCATTAATTAATCGAGCCCGTAAAGAATCTCTAGCAATAAATAAACGTCGAGGAAGTAATTTAATAATTCCAACAATAAATATTACAAAAGAAGGAAAATTGATGAGAAAAAGAAGTAAAAGAAATAATAACAATGATAATAATAATAATGAGGAAAAAATAATTTTTAATGATGTGGAGGAAGTTGAGGAATAAGATTTAAAAAATTTTTTTTTGATGACATGAGTGACTTCAAAGTGACTCTCGATATTATTTAGGGATTAAAAAAAATTTTTTTCAGTCTATAATAAGGTTGTAGTATCCGGATCCGAATATCCAAAATTCCGGATCCCGATATCCGAATTTTTTCGTATCTGGAAATCCGAAGACCAACTATCCGAGAACCTTAGTTTATAACACTGCTTCGACGCCATCAAAAATCTCGTCCCTCGTACTTGGTACTTGGTACGAGGGACGAGAAAAAATCAGAGATGGTATTATGTAAGTACGAGAAGAGTGGTACGAGTAGGAATAAATCGTTAATTTCCAATATACTGATTAATTTCTTGATTTTTGTCCTTTTAATATTTAAAATTAATTAAATTTTATTAGGTGAGGACATAATTAGTGGCCGTTTTTTTATTTGGATTTTAAAATAAGTTTTTTGAAAATATTTTTTATTTTTATTATGAATCATTTGTTAATGTATTTTCTAAAAGATCCCTGCATTTAAGAATTTTTGGGTAGGTATTCAGGAAGTTTGATCGAAAATTGAGATAAATTCCAAAAAAATTTTTTTAATTTTTCTAATCTGATTAAAATTAATAAATTAATTATTTAAAAAATAAAAGAAATTTTTTTTTTAGATTTAAAAATAAATTTTAAAATAAATTAATTAAAAGTTCATTTAATTTATTTAATTTAGGTAATCCATCAAATTTAAATTTAATTTTTATAAAAAAATATTTTTTTATTATCACTATAAAACAAAAAAAAATTTTTGAATTAAATTTAATTTAATAAAAAAGGTCACGATTTTTTACATATTTTTTAATTTGAAAATCAGGTTTTTATTTGATAAAATAAAAATTATAAAAAAGAGTTTAAAAAGTTGATTTAAAAATTTATTTTAAATTAAATTAATTTTCATTAAATTAATTACGTAGGTTTTATTTTTATTTAATTCTGATATTATTTTATAATTTATTCTGATTTTAATATAATTCTAATATAATAATATAATTCTGATTAAACTAATTAAATAATTCTGGTTTTAATTTTTAATAATTCTGATCTTTATTTATCATTTTTTGATTCTGATTTAATTAAATTCTGATTTCATATTTAAATTAGTTCTAATTTAATTAAATTCTGATTTAATTGTTCTGATTTTACTAAATTGATTTTATTAAATTCTGATTTAGTAAATTCTGATTTATTAAATTCTGATTTAATTAAATTTTGATATAATTAAGTTCTGATTTTACTAAATCCTGATTTGATTAAATTCTGATTTTATTAAATTCTGATTTAATTAAATTCTGGATTATATAACTTCTGATTTTATATTTAAATTAATTCTGATTTCATTAAATTCTGGTTTTATCCATATTTTATTCAAATTTCTGTTTTAAATTCTGATTTAAACAATAATTCTGTTATATTTAGGTTGTTAATTCTGATAATATTAAAATAAAATGAACAAACTATTTTTGTTATTATTATTTACAATTGTATTCATTACAATAATAAATGCTCAAATGAACATGGCGGAAGATGGAAAGGAGTAATTTTATTTCTAATATTAAATTTAATTATATTTAATTCTGAAAATTTCTCTAATAATTTAAAAATTTAAAATCCATTTTTAGTGCTCGTCTAAAGCGTTGGGGCGGCATGGGCCCGTGGGGTGGCGGTATGGGCATGTATCGTCCATGGGGCGGAGGAATGTATAATATGTACCGGCCGTGGGGCGGTGGAATGGGGGGCATGTATCGGCCATGGGGAATGGGAGGATGGGGCAGACGTTAAAAATGGAGGAAAAATTAAAGAAATGAGGAAAATTAATGAATTTTAAATAAAAAATAAAAAAATACATAGATGTGAATTTGATCATATTTTTATTAAGATTTTATTATAATTAAAACGAATTTCTTTGTCTAAAAGATAAACAATTATGGATTTTTAATTTTTCAACTTTGATATTTAATTAATCATAAAGAAATTGAATGAAAAATTTATGTAATAAAATTGAAAACTCGAGCAATCAATTTTCAATCAAATTCAAAGAGTCATACTTTTAGTAGTGTAAGAAATCTTACTCTGACCTTCCAAAATTCCTTCCAAAATTCCTTCAAAATTTCCTGATATCCCCGATATCACTTTAAACCCAATTTATCCTCCGATATCACCCTAACTCACCTTTCATCCTCCGTGAACCTCCGATATCTCGTTAAATCTACTTGATACTCCCAATATATCCTTCGTAAAGAGATCCTTCGATATCTTCATCATATTTCCACAAATAATTACAAAGGGTAATTATTGGTAAACTTGCTGGAGTGGATGGGTAATTAATCGAGATGGGCAATTATTTGAGAAGGTGTAATTATGCGAGTATATACGGTATCCTAATAAGAGGCACCTCTTTACACATCACCGAGCGAGATATGTCAAATATCACTTCGACATCAATATCACTTCGAAAAATCACTTCAACATCTTGAAGCAAATCCTCACTACGAGACTTTAATTAAACATTGGAAATATAATTTTTTGATAATTTAATAACCACGACTACTATACAATTTTTAAATTACCTAATTTTTAATGATGAAAATTAGGTAACCTATTAGTAAACTAATTTAACGAAAACAGGAAAACAGAGGAAGATTTTAAGAAGAAATAGGAAATTTATTTATTTTTTTATTTTTAATCACCAAATAGAAAACAACGACAATTATATTTTTGGTTGTTTTTATTAAAAGTAAATTTTACAAAAAAGTAATAAATAAAACTAAAATTAATTTCCTTGGCAGTGATAGTTGGAGAAAGGCGCTACCATTATTCTTTAAATTTTGAAAGAAAATTTTCAAGCAATTTGGTAAATAAAAATAAAAAATAAATATTAATGATCATGAGAATAGGTAGGTGGTCTAGTTGGAAGAAAACATAAATATATAAATAGAACCAGAATATCAGAATTATCATCAAAAATAAATTTAATTGTGTCTTATTATTTAGAAATAAATATTAAATAATTCTGATAAGTTATTCTGATTTTAAAAAAATTCTGAAAATAAATTCTGATTTTTATGATTATTCTATCTTAGTTACTATTTCTGGGTATATTCTGATTTAATTAAAAATAAATTCCGATTTTTAAAAAATAAATTCTGAAAATTAATTCTGAAAATAAATTCTGAAAATAAATTTTGAAAATTAATTCTGAAAAGGAGTTTTGAAAATTGATTATGATCCAATCAAAAATAAATTCCGAATATACACCTAGATTATTATTCTGATTTGTAGATTATTATTCTGATTATTATTCTGACCCTTTTACTTAAATTACAATTTGTAATTTATTCTGATTTTACTTAAATTACAATTGTAAATTAATTCTTTGTTCTGACTTTTTATTCTGATTTGTATTTTTGATTTTTAATTAATTTTCAGAATTAATAATTGTATTAGTATTACAGTATATATTCAACGAAAAATAAAATGAACAAATTATTGCTTGTTCTGTTAATTACTTTTGTAATCGCAACAATAGCTATTCAATATGGAATGGGACAGGATGAAGAAGAATTTCAGTAAGTTTTGTATATTAAATTCTGAA